GCAGACAGGGCCATTGGCGCACGCTGCGTCGTTAGGGGCTCGCAGCCAGAGGGGCCGAAAGCAGGGCTGCTGCACCTTCCTTCTCAGGACTTTCCAGGCCTGGTCTGGTGCAAGCTGCCCTCAGCACGGCCACGTCTGCACGTGGGGTTTGACACTGAACCGAAGTGGAGGTCTCAAGCCTGGGAGTCCAGTTCACCCCAGGCATGGAGGCTTGGCACCCGGAGTTTTTTACCTTGTGACCGCCTTGAGAGGGGCCGAAAGCAGGGCTGCTGCACCTTCCTTCTCAGGACTTTCCAGGCCTGGTCTGGTGCAAGCTGCCCTCAGCACGGCCACGTCTGCACGTGGGGTTTGACACTGAACCGAAGTGGAGGTCTCAAGCCTGGGAGTCCAGTTCACCCCAGGCATGGAGGCTTGGCACCCGGAGTTTTTTACCTTGTGACCGCCTTGCCTATGCACAGCGGGTGGCTGGACAAGCAAGGGCCACGGGGCTCCTCGTATCGTGAACTAAAGAGCGGCCAGGCCAGGTCAGAGCAAAGGTCCATTGAGCCCAGTGTCCTGTCTGCTGAAGGTGGCCAAGACCAGGTGCCCCAGAGGGAGGGAACAACAGGGAACCCTCACGTGATCCCTCCCTATCGCCATTCCCAGCCCCTGACACACAGAGCCCAGGGACCCCTCCCTGCCCACCCTGGCTAATTGCCATTGCTGGACCTATCCTCCATGAACTTATCTAGCTCTTTCTTTGAACCCTGTGACAGTCTGTGAAGACTTCAGCAAAGCTGTGAAGCACAAGGCGATCCCAGCAGCTGCAGAGCATAGCTATACTGTGAGCACTACAGCACACAGCTCCACACGGCGCAGCAGCATATGGGGGGCAGTCTTCGATGTTGGGAATCCACTTCCCAACTGGCAGTACCTTGGCTGCCAGAAGAATCCTTCTTTCATCCTAGTCATGGCCACCCTAGAGGCTAGATCAGTTTAGCTACAGCACTAGGGTGAGACATAGCGAGAGCAATCTGAAATCTAAGAGTAGAGCAGCCCAGAAACAGACAAATATACGTATATGACCAAAAGACAATTGGATGGATAGGTGGGTGGGTAGACAGATAAATAGAATCATGTTCTACATATCTATTTATCTGAGGGAATTTTGATTTGCTCACATCTAATTCTTAGGCCACATCTCCACTTACTGGAGGATTGACATGCCAGTGATCAATGATCTAGAGTTTGATTTAGTAGGTCTAGTAAAGACTCACTAAATCAAAAGCTGAGGGGCTCGCATTGACTCCGGTATTCCTTGCTGTTGTGAGGAGTAAGGGAAGTCAACAGGAGAGTTTTCTCCCACCAACCGCCTGCTGTGGGGCCACCCCAGAAAAATCGACACAAAGTACATCAACTCCAGCTATGCAATTCACAGTTGTGTATCTTGCATCAATTTTCTCCCCCAGTGTAGATCTGACCTCGGATGCTGATCTCCGGGGTGTGGAGTGGAGGCACCATTTCTCTCATGCTCCATGCACTGCAAGATACACCTTCAATGTCATTCTTTCATTTTTTTAAACTGAGGGGTTGTCATTTAAGGACTGTCAAGTCTTTCCCACTTCATCTTGGAAATGATCAATACTTTGCCCGACACTTTAGGACTGAGAACAACATTACGCAACCTAACAGTTAATACTGTTTTCAATAGTTCTTATTTTAACCCATATAGATGCCAATGTAGCTGCTACACTTCGTTCTACTTCTCTCCATCTGCAGGACTCCCTCGACTAGAGGGCATGATAGAATTGGCCCAGAGTTAAGCTGAAAACTCTGCTCATTTACTTGTACTGCTCTGAGTCAAACACCTTCTTTTCCTTTTGCTGTTTGGCTCCAAACTGCATCATCTCCTCCTCCACTGCTTGCTATTGGTGGAATGTCCTGGAGGAAAAATGAATTGCCATTAGCAATTGGTTTCACCCAAGTCAGAACTAGCTGCTCAAATATTCATGCTTTGTGAGCATCCAATATTTATGAAGGAAGAAATACAGTTGCCCTCAGCGGTTTCTGAATCTTACCAAAAAGATACAGCGAAGAGATTAGCAAAAGGGGGGGAAATGATGATGAATATATTTGGGACTTGGCGTGCTGCATTGTTTGTGTTGTGTTCTCTCTCTAGTGTCCGTGCGACAGAATGAAGACTGATTTATGTGGCACAGCTGTGGCAAACAAAGGAGAGGAGGCCAGGGAAATGGCTGGAGGTAAAAATGCCGGTGCAAAGGGTGAAAGGCCCGCACCTGGGTCTTGCTTCCCATGCTACCGACCCCCCTCGGTGTCCCCTGGACAATCAGATTATCTTCTGGACAGAGGAGTTCAAACAGCCCTTCAAAAGATTTGTCTTAATAATTGCCGCCTTATCTCAACTCCTGGGTTTTTATCAGCCAAGCCGCTGCTGCGAGGCAGATCCTGGGGATAAGGGGCTGTCAGTCTTAATTATTATTACCTCTGACAATGAAAGCGCATTTGTTCATCTTTCTGTGGACTGGGAAAGGGTCGCACCTAATGAACAGCTGCTGTTTCATCAATATTTTTAAGAGAGTAAAAGTAAAGTTCTAAGGGTAGGGCCTACTGTTCAAAACAAGCTGATAGTAAATGCTGCTAAATAAATAATGCTGCTGCTTCTCAGTCGTTTGTGCTCACATTGTAGCCGGTTGTTCTAGTGAAAATTATTCACGTTTTTACATTTACAGAAAGTTCTTCATTCCTGGAGGGCGAATTTTTCAGTTAACCCTTCTCGTGCTGGTTTCCCATCCCTGAGGAGATTCTCACTAGCGCCCGCAGGTAACACGCAAAGAGAGCCGTGGCAAAGTTTTCTTTGACACCAGAAAACAAAACAGTTCTGCTTGAAATCCTGAGAGTGAATTTGGACCATGATACTTCTCAAACAGAAGCCACAACAGTTATTTAATTGCCAAACTTTTCTATTACATTTCCAGAGCTAATTTTGAACTATTTGCTCCAGGTAGA